CTGTGACTTGTTTCACCCAGAACAACAACCCACAGTACAGGATCAGCATGGGTTGTTATCGAATTCAGGGTTGTTGCTACGTGTGATCCCAGCACTACAATTAAACCATGGGCTATTAACCATAAACAACCCAGTGTTCGCAACCCCCAAACAAACCATGGGTTCTCTTCCTGGGTTGTTCATGGTAAACCAGCGTAGGGTGCCCATGCCAAAAAGCACGACTCAACAGCAATCCACAATTCAACAACAGCACTTACTTTGTTGTCCATGTGTGCGAGTTAGACCTTTGCCTCACCCACAGGTGATTTGTGCTGTGTTGTCATCTTGTGCTCTGCTTTGCCTTCTGCTGCACATTACTAGCACAGTTCACACGTGCAGTGGAGTCCGTGCCGCAACCAAGCCAGCCTCCCTTTCGCCAGGACAGTGGCTTTGCTAGAAGAAACTGTTCCCAGCTCAGTGGCTCGATCCTCGTTCTACCCTTGGCCAGAGACGGCTGCTCCTCCCAGGCATGAGCACCACTAGAGGAGTTACTTCTGACCAAGCAGAAACAGAGGCTGTCTTAGGAGTGGGCCGTGGTGGATCCTGATTATCCATGGGGAGAAATTTTTATTTTTTATTATTTTGCTTAGCTTAGCCACCACACAGAGCACAATTTTCAAGGGGGGGTTGCAGCTGGGAAGGAAAGGGCTATCTTTTTCTGTCCCATGTTGTGCCCCCCCTCCCAATCTCCCTGCATGGCAGTTAAGCTGAGAAAAATAATTTTCCATTGGTCTGGGGAAGGCTCTAAACAAACAGAATGTATTCTGTTTGAGCTGATTTGGAAGAGGCATGAATTGGTTTGCTTCGGCCCCTGTAAGGTTCCAACAAATCCTAGTCAATACTTCTGCAAGTGCGTCTCTAACTACAAATCAGGGTATGCACATCTGTATCGGATCATATAAGTGCCTAGTGACACACCTGCAAAAGGCACCAGTTATTCCAGGAATTTTGCACGATCACAGAGACTTCTGAGAGGGAGGCAGGCCAAGTCGGAAGCGCAGCTCAGTCAGCGCCACTCCTGCAGCAACGCAAGCAGCTTTTGGCCTGGGGTGAGATGGCAGGAAGAGAGCCAGAGACAGCCAGGGAACAGCCCTGGGGGACCAGGCATAGCTCATGGGTCCCCCGCTGCCTGCCCCTGCATTCAACAAAGCTGACATGAACTATCCAAAATAGAATAATAACTTAATTCTTTTCCAGACGGCAATAAATTAAATAGGCATAACAATTCGCACTCATTCCAATAACAAATCGCAAAGTTAATAAATAATTTCCACAATTCATAAATAACGCAAGAAACATCAAGCGATGCGCAGCGGAGTCAGAAAGAACCGCCATTGCAGCAGCGCTGCAAAGTCGCAGACAGACACTCTAGGCGGGCCGATCCTGCTGTGGTCCACAGAGCCATGCGGTCCGGTAAGTGAGGATGCAAGGTCCAGTTTTGTTCTTCAGGCTTCCCATCTCACTTAAGAGACAAAACAGAGCTTTTTTCTGGTTGATGCATCTTTCACACGGTCCCTGTGGGGCGCATGACCCACAAGACACGGATGCACATCCATGTGCCCCATGGCCTGTTTTGCTTTGCAAAATATTGAAGCCATTGCCGAATGGTCTTAGCTCCTGAAACAGTAACATGTTCTTTGCCGCAGGGGTGGGACACTCAGTGTGAATGGAAAGGATTTTTCATTTAGTCCATCTTTCCTCCGTTAAAAAAGACTGCAAAAAGCTGGCCCAGCATCAGCGTTAGGATGGATCCTTTCCTTCTTTTGCTGGATCAAGTTTCTTGCCTGTGGGGCAGCCACAGTCTCACCTCTTCAGCTCAAATTACATGTATCCCTTATTTGTGATGCATTTTAAATCTTTGTAATTACTTGGTGGGGTGGGAGGAAAGCAAGACAAAACTGCAGCCTGGGAGTACCCAGTGAGGCTGAAGGCGGGCACAAGATTGCGAGGAATGTGGCAGAGAAGAACTGCGCCGGGGACTTGTGCTGCCTTGCTTTTGACTCATGAACAGCAGGATGGGACCCAGCGGTGCTGAGGAGCATGGCAGCTTCTTTCCCCAATATCCTCCCACACCTGCCCCCTGGTGCAGCTTCTCCAGTCGTTTATAAAGCCAGCCTTTTATAATACCCCATTCATGATCAAGCCACTTCAAAATAGTTTGTATTAAAGCAGGGAATAAGATATTACTGCTAGGAAAATCAATTTCTCCTCCAGCTGCAGTGTGGATGGCAGCTCAACTCCGAGAGGCCAGGAGTTCTGAGACAGGGGTGGCAGAAGAGCTCAGCAGCTCAGCTAACCGAAAGGTGGCCAGCGGTGTGATGGACCCTGTGCCCAATTCGATGGCTCAAACAGGCCATCCACCCCTTGGGGGCCTGGCCACAATTTGAGGATGTCCTCCTGGCAGAGATTAAAACTGCCAAACTGGTGCCTTGCTATGATCCAGCAGCCTGGATGTCTGGACTGTTCTTAGGGTGCCCTACAGGGACCATCTTGCAAGGTACCTCCATTTCAAAATTTACCATTCCATGACTGGTTAGCTGCCTCCCCATTTCCCCAGGACGACTGCCCCAATTTAAGACTGGGTCCATGCAGCTCCTGGCTGTTCTGAAATCAGCATGGAGGCTTTGGGATCTCCAGGTCCGGTCTCTCCACTGTTATCTCCGCTCTGATCTTCACAGCACAGCCAGGGTCTTTCCTCAGAGGCACCAGGGAGGGCTCACTGAGCTCCATCGAAAGCAAAATGAAGTTATGCATCTGCTTTATCCATATCCAAAGTTGGGGCCTGTGTCCCGCATTAAGCCCTTCCTTCCTCTGCTTCTTCCTGTTCTCCTGGTCTACAGCCCATGACATAATCGTAAATTTTTGGGGTGCAAGAACTCATCACACGAGGCTGCACTGTTAGTCCCCCAAGGAGAGTCCCAAATGGAGGCTGTGAACCATCCTGAGAAATCAACTCTGGAAACGTCCATCTCTGCTAGGAGCAGGCCTTTTGGAAACAACCCCAAGTTAACCCACGGTTTGTGCACATGGGGATGTGTCTGGAGTCTGTTTTGGGGACGCAACTCTCCTGGATTCCCCAGCTCCCCAGACTGTGGTCCTCTTTGTCACAGCCCTGAGTCCAAGTTCCTGGCGGGTGCACCCAGCGTTTGGGGGTCTCTCACCAGGAATTCAAGCCCCTTGGTGGCACTGCAGGAATTCCCTGGATGTTGCCACTCAGCTCACCTTCTAAGACTAGGAATGCGGTCTGCACATGCTCAAGGGCCAGATTCTGCTGAGTTTCATCTCGATCCTAGTTGTAATGCTAACATTGGGTTGCTTAACCTGCAAACAGCTGTGGAGGCAGCAGTCACTGGTCGGCACTAAAAGTGGAATTGTTGCTGGACGCCAGGGCTGAATCCAAAGGTCCCCACTGAGGATCCAGGCCAGTGGCGGCCTTGGATTGCTCCCGATGCTTGGCTGTGGGCAATGCTGCATTGGTCCAATCGTTTCCCAGAAGACCAGGCGATCTAGAAGAGCACCTTTTCCTCTGCCAACCTGCCCAGTCACAGAGGTGACTGGGGGATGTTCCACTGATGGTCCCACCTGGTCCACCTGCTTCTACCAGGAAAAGAGCCTGCCCTTTGGTGGCCCCACATCCCTGGAATTCTTCACCTCCAGGGGGCAGCAAGGCACCAACACTGAGCTGTCTGTGGCACCTGCTCAAGACACCCATTTTCTGGGAAGCTTTGACCGCAACGTTGTGTGGACCTGGTCCGGCTTGAGTGCTGCCAATGCCTGACCTCGGAACCCTTCCTCACATTCCTTCTGGGACACCAGTACCCAGAATGGGCAGTGCTGGGACCAGGTTTTCGAGGGACCTTGGGAAGGACACTGTGAATGGCTTTCCAAGCCAAACAGAGGAACTGTTGCCTCGCTCTTTTCTTGGAAACCTTTTGATACGCCTGGTTCTGGGTTCAGCCACCCAGCTAGGAGCCAGGAAGAGTGGCTTCCAGGCTTTAGAAGGCTCTTGGGCAAGCTGCCCTCAGCAAGTCCCACCGTCCAGCAGGACTCCCGGCCACGAGCGATTCTTGCTTCTCGTCCTCTTCACAGAGTGGCTATCATTTCCTCGTTCAGCAGGCAGAGAGCAAAGAGCGAGGAGGGGGCCCTTCCGGCTCCCCCTTTGCACCACACCTCTGCCATCAGAGGAAGCAGGCTGCAATGGGGGGGAGGACACTCTTGTCCGTGGGCCCTCAGCAAGTGCCCAGGCTGGCCAGTCCGTGACCCAAGCACCGAGATTGGAGCGCAGTGTTGCGAACACAATCTTACCGGAGCTCCTCACTGCACTCAGGAAGCGCAGAAGTTTTCCCACATGGAACACCGATTTTGCAAAGGAGATGAAAACCGCTTGCGCACATGTTGCTCCTTTGGGCCCCTCAAGAGCTGAGCTTCCCAGGGTGGGGAAAGGAGTCATGTTTTTATCTGCTGGGTGCCACAGCTCTGACTGGGAGGCTGAAGGGGAGCAACCTGTGCCGACGGGCCTACAGTGAGAAGAAAGGGGGCACCGCTGAGCCTGGGTGGAAGGATCCACAGCAACTGATAGAGCAAAGCGTGCTTCCTCTGATGGGGGAAGGGGCCACTGGGGAGCAGCCCCTGCATGGCCTGGCTCAATTACTGCGGCGGCATGAATAGGAGGCCATGCCAGCTCTCTGGTCTTAAGAACCGGACCTGCTGCTTCGGCATCTCCCCTCCCTGAGGAGGAAACATGCAGGGCGATCAACAGCTCGCAGCTGTTCACAGATGGGGCTGAACTGCATGGCTGGTTTCCAGGGGGAAAAAACCTGAGGCCCTGGCTTTCCTCCCTGGCTCCTGGGGTGATGTTTGGCAAAACATGGGTGGCTGCCTGGCTTTGTGCACTGAGAAAGGCGTTCCTGCTTCTCTGTCCGAGAAGAAGAACCTGTCCAACCGTAGTGGGAGGCTGCCCGCTAGCGCCGCAGGCTGTCGTCGCTGCCGGTCGAGCTGGAACTCCCGCTGCGGCTCCGCCGGCTGTGCCTCGGCGCTGAGCTGTGGCTGCTCCCACCGCTGCTGCTGCTGCTCCAGCTTCGGCATGTCCTGCCGCTGGAGGGGCTGCGGCTGTGGCTGCGGCTGCGGCTGGGAGAGTGGCTGAAGCTGCTGTACCAAGAGGAGTAGCTGCTGATGCTGCTGGGAGATGAGGAAGAAGGACTCGGCCGGTAGTACGGGATGGGGCGCTTCCGGGCACTACGGGGATGGAAAGAAGAGCGGGGCTTAGGGAGGCGGGGGCAGAGCCTAACTTCTCCGCATGGAGGTTCAGCTTCTCGGGAGCTGGGGAGCTTTGGGGCTCGCCAGAGAACGGAGGGCAACGGAGCTCCTCCAACAGAAGCTCCTGCTGGGCTTCTCAGCTCCTGACCCACACAGATCTGGGTTCGGAAGGGTAGAACAGGAGTGTTTCGAACTCCAACCAAGAAACAGGACACGGATCCTTTCTGGGTTGGAACAACGTTGGGTCCAGCACGGTCTGCCGCCCATCGTGCTGATTTAAACACGCTAAAGAGCGCGATCAGGCATTGCACCCTGGCAGGGAAGCCTGGCTCTCCGGCAGGTGCTGCACCTCGCAGGAGGTCTCTGCCTGCTTTAGAAGATGTTGGACCACAGAAGAGCCCCCTGTCGGGTTAGGGTCAGTCTGCCTGCTACAGGAGGCCTGGCAGAGTTCTCAGGCGTCTGGCTTCCCCTAGCTGTGCATTTCAGTTTTTTATTATCCAGTGGAAGTTCGGTGTTAGGAGCTGCTGAACATGCACAGTCTTTTCTCCATTATTGTTACATTTAGAAGCCATTTTTAACTTTCTTGTAAGGTACTCAAGGCTGCTTCCCAGTTCCTCCTCTCCATTTTATCTGCACCTGCTAAATTGGAGCCTCAAACCAGAACTGGGGAGGTCCAGATTCTGAGCCCTGGAGGTGATCCTGGACCAGTTATTAGCCCCTCTCAGTTTGCGCCACCTCACAGGGTTGTTGTGAGGATAAACAGGTCTCTTTGGAGGCAAATGGGATGAATGTGCCTGTGCGCATGCGTGCCTTGTCAGCTTTGCGCTAGATATACAAACATGATCTGTATAATTTCCCTGCTGACCCAGAGTAAGGCTGCCATCCCATGCTTGTTTGAGCAGGAAAAAGCCCACAATCCCCGGCATTCCTCAGGGAACCAAGAAAGCAGGAATAGTCTCCCTGGGGTTCTGGACCGCTGCTCTAAGTGCTCCGCACCAGGCGCTGCCAGACAAGGACGCCTGAGGGGAACTGCCCAGCTCCCCCTCGGAGTGGTGGAGACGCACCCGTCTTCCCTCCAGTTCTCCTGACAACAGCTGGGAAGACCGGTTGTCTCATGAACAGTGAGAACAGGTTGTCTCACCTGGTGATGCGCCGGGCTTCCAGGTGGCTGGGAGAGTCTCTTCGTCGCTTCCTCATGGGAGAATAGGACTGCTTGCGCCGCCGGCGGTCGTGATGCCTGTGTGAGTCTTTCCCGCTGGAGCCATATTTGTGATCTTGCGCACGGTCCCTGCTGGGGTGTGGGGAGGAGAAAAAAACCAAACAAACCAGAGAGGCTCAAATAGGCTATCTTTCACCAGTGCATCTGACTCGCTCGTGCAAGTGCTTTTGGATCCTAATTGCAGCCTGGGAAGGTTTTCTAGTGGGGATAGTGGCGGACAACAGCCCGCTGGAAGGGAAAGCTTAGCGTGGGCTGGAGATCTGAGTGCTACCTCTAGGTGGCAGTGTGGTAGAGCCAGCTAACACTCGTCTGCAAGAGGAGATCAGGCATTCTTCCACTTCCACAATTAAATGCTGCACTTTTCCTGCTCTAATGCAAGAGGCGTTTATCAGAAGAAAAATCCTGATGGTTGGATCAGTACATCAGTGGAACCAATGACCTAGGGAGGTCGTGGGCACCCCCATAGATTAGTGGCATTCAAGATGCAGCCCGACAGCCGTCGGAGAGGGGATGGCTTAATTTGGATTCCTGCACTAAGCAGGGGCTTGGGTCCCGTCCAACTCTCCTCTTCTGTGATTCTATGAAATCATGTATCCTTTCACGTGTGCGATTAAATTCTGCACTTTCCCCACTCTGAAAGGGCTTTTTGAAAGCATCTGTAAGACACTTGTAAGGAACCGGAGGGCTGCAAAGCTGTCTAAAGAACCCATAAGCGACTGTGAGGAGGGAATGATGAGTCCATGGGAAGCTTCATGTAGAAAAGCCTTTATTCACTGAGAGCTGGTACAGTGTAGGGGTTAGCGTTGCACTGGGATCCAGGAGATCCAGGTTCCGGTGCCCTCTGGCCACAAAGCTTCCTGGGTGACTTTGGGCCAGTTACTCACTCTCAGCTTACAGGGTTGTTGTGAGCCAAAGACTGAGAGAAGCAAGTTTCTTTGAGTTCCTTGAAGAAAAAAATGGTGGGATAAAAATAATAAATCAAAAAGAAATTAAAGATACTGATAAAAATGAAATTGCTTGGATTCGTGGCATGTGGAGTGTTTGATGGTGGAGAGAATGCGGAACCTGACAGCCGTACCTGCTAGGACTGTATCGGGAATAGCTGGGGCTTCGTCGCTGCCTCGAGCTCCGGCTTCCGGGACTTCTCTTGCAGGACTTGGGAGAGTGGCTGGGAGAACGGGAGTAGGACCTGGAAACAGGGAAAAGCATGAGGCTGCTGGGGTAAAGCAGGAAATCTGGGCCCATGTCAAAGCCAGAGCACAAAGGGGAACGGCCCCAAGGAGTCCAGACATGAGGTTGTCCTTGGGTGAACAGTTACCAGGTTGCAGACTATGACAATATAATAACAAAAACACACAGAACGAGCAATAATATTAAATGAAACATTAAAACTACAACAATAAAGCAGAACAAAAAACAAACACGGGTCACCCCACAATAAAGCCACACAGTCACCTCAATTCATTTAAGCCAAAGGTTGCATTAAAATCAGTAAATATTGTATAAAATCGCTTAAAATTCCATTGACCAATCAGGTATTGGGTAAATAAATAGGTCTGTGCCGGCACTGGAGTGAATGCAGAGAAGGTGCCTGGCAAACCTCTTTGGGCAGCTGGCCCCAGGGTTGGGTGGCCTATGCAGTGGGCCGGATGTGGCTGGCCTAGGCGGGCCCTGGGCCTGATCCAGCAGCTCTCCTTCCCATCTTTTGTTCTCAGGGTCACTGTGGGGCAGTGGGCCTGGGGCTCTGCCCCACCTGCTATGGACGGATGCGGCGGAAGGCTCACCTCGTCCCTGATGAACACGATCGGCTTTGGGCCGACCTGGACCCAGGCTTGCGATTTAGCAGATGAGAATGGGCAGATTCCAGAGACGAGGACCTGCTGGAGGAGGATCCATTCCGCACACCCGGCCTGAGGGGGGATCCTGGAAAGGGGGCAGAAACAAGGCTCCCCTTCTTCTTCTCCGAGGGTTCAAACGAGTGCAATGACCCATTTCTGAAAAGAGGCAGTTCCAAGGTTATGCTAGCCTTGAAGAAAAGACACATTTCCAGGAATGCTATTCTAGCCTTCAAGAAAAAACAAAACAACGGCTCCAGCCATCTCTCCCCTGCAGCAGCTTTGCTTTTTTTAAATGCTGAAATAGCAGCATCTGGAACATGGGAACAGCCTCCTGCTGGGCCTGGTCTTTGTCCACCTGGCCTATTGCGGCTGCTCTGACTGGCAGCTGCTAGGTGTGTGGGTGAATCTGATAATGGCTTCTTCCTGCTGGGAACATAACTGGGAACTCTCGTCTCTGTGGATGAACGCCTGGCTCACTGACCCACCAGGGCTGCGGTTTGGAAACCCCTGGGCAGGAAAGCATTCACAAGCTGTGCTTGGGCCATTCCTAGACCCAGGGTTGTTGGGAAAATCTGCAAAGGATGGAGATAACTCTGGATTTCTATGAATCCAACCTGTGGATTCTGCAGTGAACTGTCTTTTTCTGAGGCAGGTGCGAGCAGTGGGCTGGCAGACCATTTCTGTGTGGGTGCCTTGGAATTCTGTTACTGCACGTAAGTGCTATTGCGCTCGCACTGAAATGTGGACATGCACATTAATGGATCGGTGCTGACGCACACTTGCACCGAGGCGAGTTAGCGCAAATGCAAAGGGGTGCAAGCAGGATAAAAAGGTTAAAAAAATCCGGATTCTGTTCTTGAGCGAACAGTGGAATGAAATGCTCCTGACAATGACAAATACAGACAGAATGGATGTAATGTAATGCAATGCGAGTACTTTTGCTATAGGCATTCTTAAGCAAGAGGAACCAGAAAAGGCTTCGGTCTGGGCTGGACTTTTGCAAGAAATGTCTTTGGAATGGGGCCTTTCTTGGTAACTTTAGAAGCTTGGCAGATTGTCCCCAGAGCCATGCCCCGGGTCCCAAATAGCAGGGAGCTGTGTAAATCCAGATAAACAAACCAGGCTTGGCCCCTTTCATCTGCTAGAACTTGGTCTTTTGTCAAGCGAATGGGTCTGAGTGGTCCATGCAAGACTAAGCCAACTCAAAATCAGTTCGCATCGCTGCTGGGAAAATATACCCTTCCATCAGCTATGGTGAGAATTGCAGCTAAGACCAGGCGAAAGGGACTTCTGAGGAGGCTGTGGCAGATCTGTTGGTGTCCCTGCAGATAAAGACGCCCCAGGGTTGCATGCCCGTGAACCCTGCCTCCATAACTCCACTGATAATTTGGTTTGCTCCTTGTCTCTCTCTGCCGTCGGTGTCCCTTAGCCCCACTGCTGGCTTTAGCTCCCAGCCTGACCCTCCAGGGTTGTCCTTCCCCTCTAAGCACACCTCCTGGTTCTTGGCTCCTGGATGCCTACAAAGCATTCATGAAGCTTCCCACTAGGGAGTACGGGAAGAACCAGGGGGTGAATATCTTAGCATCTTGGAACAAGTTCAGCATTGCTTGCTATGGCAGCCTCCCCAAACTGGTGCCCTCTAGGTAAATTGGGACTTCAGGTCCCATCAGCACCATGCTGCATGGCCAATAGCCAGGAATTCTGGGAGTGGTAGTCCAAAACTTTGGTGAGCATGCAGTTGGAGAAGGCTGCTTGACGAGCCCCGCCGAGTTCCCTGTGACAAAAGAGGGAATGTGTAGTTCTAGGGTGCGAAACTTCTTTCAGCCCCAGGGTTGAGCTCTATTTCAGACAAGTGTTTGGGGGCGTGGCATTCAAGGGGTGGGTGGGGCTGAAGACCAATGGGGTGGGGCCAAGGAAAAAGGGGCAGTCCAAAAAATACCAGCATAGTGCCATCCAACGCTTGCAGTGCCAGCAACCACGCCTGGGAGATGTTTCCGCCTTTTAGGATGGGAACAAGACGGCCCAACACCAGGGAGAGCACCCAGTGGTGGTTGGTTGGGGAAAAGGAGGTGGGGCCGGGGGACGGTGTGGCCTTCTGGCGAGTGGGCCGCATGGGGCCCCCGGGAGGGCCCGTGGTTCTGCAGCCCTGTTGCAGCTGGGGTCAGCTTCCTTGGGCTGCTCCTCACCTTCGGCCCTTGCCGGGGACATGTGGAGACGCTGCTGGGTCTTCCAAGGTCGCTCCCTTCGTCTGGGAGAAGCAGCTGGTGAAGGAGTTCCCTGAATCGGAGCCGCTGCCGCTGCTAGTCTTCCCGGAAGAGCAGGCATGGTCAAAGCCGTCGTGAATCGGACAGCTCGCCTCCTGTCTTCCCTTTGACCCGGACGTGCTCGTCTGAGTGGACGGAGGGGAAGAGGTGTCATTTCCTGAGTCGTATTCACGGGGCTCTCCATTCGTTTTGGCTACCCTGCCCTCTGCTTTTTTAAAGAGGTCAGCAGAAGACCCGGACTTTGAAATCTGCAAGCAAAAGAGCCATTTTGCCAGGGTTTAAAAGAGATTTTCTGTGCATGGAGTGTGTGTTTAGTTTGTCTTATTTATATATTTATTCATTGGTCAAATAAACCAGGTTTATTTTTGTTTTTTGCTTTCTTTACCATCATGATGCACAGTCTGAAATCAAAGGAAAGGAAGAAAGGAAGGAAGGAAGGAAGAAAAGAAGAAGAAAGGAAACAAAGAAAGAAGTCAGAACTAAAAAACACACCTCCCTGAAAGAAAGAAGTGTCTTTTTTTTAACCCCAGATATAATTGGAAGATTTTAAGGCATCATGCAAAGAGTACTAAGCATGCGATCCATGTTGAATGAGAGATTTAAAAAGAAAAATTAAAAATCAAAGCAGACTAAAAAAAATCAAAAGCTTCTCTGAAACAGACAAAAAATGAACAAAAAGGAATAGATATACTTTTAAAACAAAGGAACAAACAAAAAGGGCGTGTGCTCTGGAAATGAAATAAAACGGAACAAAAGCCCGAAAGCATGATCCAGCCAAATGATGGATTTCTAGACCTCATGAGTTCCGGTGGAAAAATCTTCACTTCTTACCCACTGGAATCAATAGGGTTTAAGGCCAAAGCATGGCTTCCGGACATTGGCTGGGCTGTCTGGAGGCCTGTTTGGAGGCCTTGCAATGAGCTCCTGAGACCTCATTGCTGTGACCCCGAAAGCCAAGCCCCAGCCCTACCCTGCTTGCAGTGGGTGCAGAAAGAACTGTGCTGGAGGCCTCTCTGAGGTTGTGAATAGGCCTCAGAGAGGAGGGAAAGGGCTTGCCAGAGGCAGGCAGGCATGCGGGGAGACCAGGGCTGACGCGAATGCTGCCTCCCAGCCCCCTTCCTTCCTCTCTGAACCAGTTTCTGCCACATTGCTTTTCCAGCAGATAAAAAAAGCTTATAAAATACCTTCTTTTCTTGCGGCTGTATGGGTTTGGCTGTGTTGCAGGGCATTTTCTATGGAAGCGATTAACAAGCTACATAAAGCAAAGTCATGGTTCCTTGGACCTGCGGCAGCAGCTTCTGCCCATGTGGCGAGTTGATTCCAAACTGGATCAGATTCTCCACCCTTCTGTTTCCCAGAGGCTTGACTAAGGAAGTTCACACCATTTGTGGGTCAGATGCCTGCCATTGTGTGCTTGGCTAGCCCTTTGGAGCCAAGGCCCCTCACTGGATCCAGGAACTCACCCTCCCTTGCAGCCTTTCCGTGTCTCTCCCCTGCCCCGTGCTCAGGACGGCTTGGCGCCCAGCCACTGCCGGGCGAATCTTACTTCCTAACCGGGACTTTCCAAAATCGCTTGCCAGCTCCTCCCCTTCTGCCCTGTGCCCCTGATCCTAATTCTGGCTGGGAATGCTGTCCCGGGGAAAAGCTGGGCCCAACTCCACATTGTATCCTCCACTTGGGGCAACAACACTTAGGACAAAACCTGCCTCGTTGTTGTCAGCAGAAACTTCTTCTCCACTTGAATGCGTGAGTTGGGGACAATTTTGCTCCAGCTGGAAAAGAGGGGGAAGTGGTGGGCGACTGGGGGGTTGTGGGATTCTGCAGGGAGGCGAGAGAGAAGTGGGGGAAGGGGTGCAGAGAATCTGTACCTGGAAGAGGAATGACCGATTGGAATGATCTGGGAGGGGCTGAGGGTGCAACTCCACTGAAGAATGCAATATTTTTCCCAAGGGGGGTTGCTGAGCAATGATTCTAGGATGTTGCGTATGCAAATGAATTGGCGTGTGCACAATTATGCTGATCTGTGTTCTGGAAACTTGAACGCTGACTCTTGGAGGTGTCTAGCAACCCCTCATGTATCCCGCATATCCAGCCGTGTTGCATCCAGCCGTGTTCTTCTGTCCATGGAGCTGAGTCTTCCAGGAGACTGGATGGTCTCCTCCCCACACCGACTCGTTTATTGACCACCTTCCTAATCTGTCTGAGAACAAATGATCTCTTCTTGTTCCCTTCGGCAAGCATGTTTTGCCAGAACTGCGCAGGCTGCATTGGCTGCCGCTTGGCACCTGGGGCAAGTTCAAAGTGCTTGTGATATAAAGTTCTAAATGGCTTGGGGCCAGGGAATCTGAAGGAACACCTCTCTCCACATACCCCTCACTGAGATCTTCATCAGCGGCCCTTCCCCACATCCCCACCCCCAAGGAAGTGGGGGGAGGTGGTTAGGAGAAGGGTCTGTCCTGCAAAGGGGGGCACTTATGGAACATGGTTCCACCAGAGATTCGCCAGGCATCTTCTCTTCTTTCCTTCAGAAGAAAACTGAAAACTTCTGCTTGCAAATGTTTTGGTAAGTAAGTTGGGCTGTTTTCTACAATGGTTTATTATACTGGTTTTATGCTGCTACTGCCATGCTAGAATGTGAGCTGCCAGACAATTGTATTTATAATGATGGTTTTAACTTAATTGCTTAATTGGTTTCACTGTTAAGTGAATGCATCCTCGCTGCAGATAAGCCTCCAGGTGGAAACTGATGCTCTTCCTCTGTGTGCAAGGAGAGGAGACGAGGCGGGGTGCCTTTTGCTACTGCTGTGATTCGCACCCCGCGTGTCACCTGGATGGGACTTTTTGGCCCCCTAGCTTAAGCACCAGGCAGGGGTAGGGGAGGGGGCCGGGGCAGCAACCGGGATTGGTGTGGGTCTTCCTCCCCTGCTTGCCCCCCCCTCCAGCTGGCATGGTTCTTTCCATGCTCGATGCAGGGGGTTAAGGCAGGGGCTTGGCCCAAGGGGCAAGTAGGGGTGAAACCATGGATGCTCCTTCAACCATGCCTAGTGAAGTTTCTCAGACCTAGCTTGAGAATAGGCCTCCTTTTGAAGGGGGGAAGGGCTTCCCGGGGGGGGGGGGGGAGGGGGGAGCCCGTGGGGGGGGGGGGGGGGGGGGGGGGGGGGGGGGGGGGAATGAGCCATGCATTGGAGGTGCTTCATCATGAATGCCATCTTGCTCTCCAGCAGTGAGAGCTGCCCTGAGGGTGGAGCCAGAAGTTTTACTGAAAGGCAGGGATTGTGGGAAAGTCTCCTGTTCAGATTCAACTCTTTACATGAGCAGGGGCTTCTCATTCCAGCTTTGGTAGATGGCTGTGTGGAGCTCAAACTGGTCTGTTATCTGTGGAGTCTCAGAGCTGTATTTCATAATAAAACCTATTAAAAAAAGAGAGCTGTATTTCAAAGGGCTGTCTGAGTTTTTGGGATTGGAAGGAAGGGGACAGCTCATGCCAGTCCCAACTCCAGGACTGCTGGACCTTGAAAGCGAGAGTCAGATAAACCGAGGGCCTCTCAGAGGATGCTCAGGCCCTATAGAATTGTGCGGCCATCATCACCACCACCTCCATCATCATCATAGCAGCAGCTGCTCCTGCAGGGGCGGGGAGAAGGGAACCTCCAACTGCACAAGCTCCGGCTTTAACCCTTGCGTTTTACTAGTTTCCGTATGCATGAGCTTCCGTGGAAGTAAGTCTTACCACACGCAATAGGACTTGTGTCCCAAAATGCAGTCAGTCCCAGCAACAGTGAGCTTTGCCTGTGAGGAAAGGCATCGATGTGGAGAAACTTGCCCAGGGAGAGCTGGTGGAAGGTCCCCAGCCTAGCAGTGCCGGGAATGAGAGGGGCCTGGTCTTGGCATGCACACCCGGGTCATGCCAGCCTGAACTCTGAGTCAGAGGAAGGAGGGGGAGCAGCAGAGGGGGCCAGGAATGTGGGGCTTCAGACGGGAGAAACAGAGGGGCTCATCTCTAGGCTGCTCTGTCCTGGTGCCGAGGCAAGCTCTGGGAATAACCAAGATGAGCAACTATCGGGAGAGGGCCTGGGAGAGGAGTTCTCGGAGCCAGACGAAGCTGGTGCAACTCTTGACAAGGAGCCAGGAGGAGGGGGCAGCCAGCGAGAGGGATGCCGTGCAGAGAAAAGGCGTGCCCACTTCCAGATGGGCCCTCTTGAGGGGATCAGGCCCAGACATACTCAGGAGGAGGGTTCTTGAAAGTAGTTGTCGAGATGGGGTCCAACGAACCGCTCTGCATGCTCAGAGATACATTCTGGAGCAATTGAGTTTATTGGGTGTATTTGGTGAATAAGATCTTTTTGCAAACAAATGGCCTGTTGCTTTGAATGTGCGAAGGGAGGAAAAGCCCGGCTGATGACGGGTGGGGGCCCGTTAATAAGAGCCCCTGGACTTTCTTCTTCCCTTCTACCCTGCAAGCTGCTTGATCCTCTCACTCCTGATCTGGCTCAGTCAAAGGGTGAGGGGGAGAAGAAGGTGCAGGAGATACCAGGGTCTCCTTGCCCCCCAGGCCCTCCACCAGGTGAATAAGCAGGTGGTAGTCGGAGGGGAGGAGGAGGAGGAGGAGGAGGAGTGGCTGGGGAGAACGGGGTCCCTGAAGGCAACTTGCCCCCGACCCCTGCAAAACTTGGAGCTGGCACAGTCTACTGTGGACTTGCCTTTGGCTGGATCATGCCCCTCTCTATTCTCTCTATTTTAAAAAATGTTACCTCAATAAGAAGGAGGTGGGATGATTCAATATAACAGTTAAAAATGAATATTTGGGCACAAATAAGGAAAAAAACTGGCCAACAAAGTAGAAGGCTTTGAAATAGTAACTAAGGCCAAAGGAGAAAATTAAAGAATACTCAAATAAAAAAAAATACAAAAACAAACCCCAAACAAACAAAAAGCCAAACTCCCTCTGGAGATAAACGCAGACATATATCAATTTTGTGTGTGTTTCCCCTCGTAGAAGGTACAGCTAATACTTTCGAGTGACCTCTAGTAATAAGTGCCCTAGCGTCTTGAGGTTAGCATCAACTTACCAATCAAGATTTCCTCCTTTAGTAGGGTAAGGTGTAAGAAAAAGGGAAGAGCGGGCAAGGTAAGTCCATCATTAGAGTCTCAAATTACAAGAGAGAAAAAAAAGCCACAAACCCTCTCTCTCTTTCTTCAGTCCACAGTGCCAATCAAGTGTCGGTTTTGTCCAATTTTAAATGCTTTG